CCCTCCGGGGCGACGAGCGCCCGGGACCCCAGTATCCGGAGCGAGTCCGGCCCCGGGTCTATATCATTTTTCCTTACCTAATAAGGCCATCAAAAAAAGTATGTCTCCGTATCAATATAAGGTTGTTCTATTAGACTCTTTACATTATAAGTAAGATAAATTTACTTAAAAAATTTACATATAGATCAAGGTTAAATAAAAGTCTCTGCCGGGGTGAGCCCGGCGGCTATTTAGACTAAATAGTGACTCAAAATAAAGAATTGATTTCATTTAGAATAAATATGAAAGAGGTAATACTGATTGGTCAGTGCGCGAGCTGTAAACTCGTGAGCCTTGTGCTCCTCGGGGGTTCGAATCCCTCTTACCTCATATTAAATAAAATCTAGGGGTCCAGAATCTTATTCCAGATTTCCTTAAGTAAAATTCTCTTTCCCTTGAGTTCCTGCTCGAGGATTAAATCAAATGCGGGTTGATGTAAAGGTTGCATACTAGACTCATGATCTGGAAGTGGTAGTTCGAATCTATCACCCGCACTTAAATGAATATTGGAAGAAGATTTAAATTCAAATCATTCTTTTGTCCTTGGATTAGTTATAACTAAGGATAATTTTATAGAGATTTGTTAAAATTAGAATTAATAAAAGTAACAGAGGAAAACCTAAAAAAAATTTATCGATCAATAGATCAAGTCAAATGTTTAACTTAACCAACCCTAGGTTGGAGATAAGATTATTATGTTAGCAGCAGCTAAAATTATCGGATCTGGATTAGCAACTATCGGTCTAGCGGGAGCTGGAGTTGGTATTGGACTAGTATTCGCAGCTTTAATTAACGGAACTTCTAGAAACCCATCTCTACGACCTCAATTATTCTCTTATGCAATTTTAGGATTCGCATTAACAGAGGCAATTGGACTATTCGCATTAATGATGGCATTCCTATTACTATACGCATCGTAGTTTACTAAAAAATTCATCCTTTTGGGGTTCTCTATTATCACCTTCCCGTGGTGAATCCTGTTAGTAAGGTCTATACCTGAAACTAAGTATAATAAATCCCTTTTTAAGTAAAGATTGGGTTTCTATACCTTTAATTAAAAACAACCGTTAAATATTTTAAAATATAAGTAATGAGAATTTTTTAAAATAGAATTATAGTCTATTCTAAATATCCAAGTAGGAATAGTCCTCCGGTAAAAGATTCTCATTGGGAATGTAAATCACATTTAGAATAATATCCCTTAAGTATTGTTCAATATCGAATTGATTATGTTATCAAGATTAAATTTAGCAGCTGCTACAGCTTTTTCAGGGCTAACTGGTGTTTTTACAGGGATTTATGTTCATCATAATTCTGTAAAATCAAACGAAGAATTTGCCCAAAGAGAATTTGAGCGAAAAAAAGAATTAATTCAATTTAGACATGATTTAGAATTAGAACGAAATGATTCTAATTATCTTACTCATATTTTAAATTCAGAGACTTTATCTAATAAAGTCTCTGAACTTAAAGATGAATCTTCATCTTTATTAAATAAACCTTCTATTTCAACAGATTCTGGGTCTTTGGCCCAGAATTCTCTCTTAGGGGAAGATTCTGTTGGATCTGTAACAAAAGCTTTATTAGAATCAAATTCTATTCATGTACAGGAATCTAATATTTATTCAGTATTAGAACATCTTCCATTACCAGTAACAGCTAATCAACATTTTGCTTTTTCATTTTTTATGTTTAATATGACTGTTTTAATTTGTCTAACTGGTTTAATTTTAAATCATTATTCTAAATTATACGGTGACCAATATTTGGACAAATTACCTAAATGGATTTTACCTATTGCAAAACATTATTCTAATTTAAGAGATTATTCTAATAATTATTACATCTTTACAATTTTTGTAACCACTATTATGTCAACTATTGGAAGTATGATTATGTATTATTTAGGGTAATTTTGTTATATCAAAATAATTTTCCTCTTTTTTT